TTTACAAGGTGAAAAAAGATGACAGATGTTTTTTTAATATATTTTAATAATTTTGCGCAAGAAAAAAGTTACTTGTTTATCTCTTGAGAATTGACCTTATCCCATCAACCAAGTCTTATTAAACAAAAGTAACTGTTTGTATATAATATTATCCTGAAAAAAAAAAAAAAATAGAATTTATATAAGATATATTTCTCTCTTTCTTACTTACACGCACGATTTAATGTTAACTGTTGTTAACAAAGTGTAATATTCGTGGCTCATACTTTTTTACAACCGCTTATAAACTCCTCTCTGGTTATTACGCCGTCTTTATTTGTATCCATTTTTTCAAAGAATTTATCTACTTGTCTGTTAATCGCAAATTGCATGTTGTGTGCATTTTGCATTTCGTAAATCGCAGATATTATAGTCAACATCTCTCGTCTCGTGATTTGACCGTCTCCATTCAAATCGTAGAATCTGACAAACATTAACGCTTCAAGTAACGCTTTTTTGCTATTTTTATTATATCGATTTAGATTATGTACGAAGAAACGTCTTCATTTTTTTTAATTGACTTTAATTCTCTCTCTTCTCTTACTAAATTTATTTCTTTTGTTTTAGGAAGAATGTGTAAAATATTGCTTCTAAGTCTTTTATATGCGATTAAAAATTAAATTAATTTTATAACAAGAGAAATATATAAGATTTTACGAGCCATTCGCAGGATGTTTGAGCGGAAACTGTGCGTATATATATATATATATATACGCACAGTTTCCGCTAAAACATCTAATATATATATATATATACATACACATGTAACGAATTCAACTTGTAAATTTTTACAAGTGAGTGTTTTTTTAATTGAAATCTCAATTCTTAAATTCACACAGGATGCTGGATTTGCATCTCACATATGAGAGACCCCGGAGAGAGCCCGAAGCATCCCGTATGAATTTAAGAATTGAGATTTCAATTCAAAAAACACTCACTTGTAACAATTTACAAGTTGAATTCGTTACATGTATATATATATATATATATATATACGCACAGTTTCCGCTCAAACATCCTGCGAATGGCTCGTAAGGCCTTATATATTTCTTGTTATTAATTTCAACGAGCCTTAAGTCATAATTGTTTTAAATTAATTGTACATTTGAAAACACCTCCAAATTGTAGTTGTTTTTTTTTTTTTTTTTAAAAAAACGAAACAATTCCGGAATAACGAATAGAAACCAGTAGTAGTAAAAGTGAGATAAATCACCTAAATATCCAAGAGAGCTTTTGATCCACACTGCCATTGACGATTAACGCTATGGTTTCAAGAAGATCGCTGAAGCTGATGATGCCGTCGTTGTCTTTATCGAAGCTGTTGAACACAATGTGCACGTACATAGCCGAGTCACCTAACGGAAACAGTTTAGCATATACAGACTTTAGATCGCTCATCATTACCCATCCTCTAGGACATAGCTGCTTGAAGCCGCGATACAGTCTGCGTATCTCGTCCTTGGAGAAGCCAGTGCGCCAATTTAGAGTGGATAGTTGTTCAGGGAAAACGTACAACGAATGTTTGTCATCTTCCTGAATGCTTTCTACAAAAAATGTGATCAATTGTACAGTGACATATACAGTAAAATTACTAATTATTGAAATATTTTAACGCGCAATTGTTTATACGAGTCAATTTTATTGATACAAATGTTTCAAAAACATTTTAATTTAAAAAAACTGTTACGTATACAACTGTATACGTAACAGTTTTATATATGAAACAGTTGTATACGTAACAGTTTTTTAAATTAAAATGTTTTTGAAACATTTGTATCAATAAAATTGACTTGTATAAACAATTGCGTTAAAATGTTGTTACATATACAGTACAATTACTAATTATTGAAACATTTTAACGCAAACCGGTAAAAAATTTTCCATGTATAAAATTGTATGGACATATTCGGCACACATATAAATTTGTATAATTAGATATAATAATTTTAATTTGTGTATAAGTATATACGATTATATATCAAAAAAATTTTTTTAAATATAGTAAAAATATAGTTTTATATAATTTTTTGTATCTAACATGATACTAATAGAGTTATTTTGTAATTTGATATGGAATATCTCTGAAGCCATTCTTTAAAAAAAAAAAATTCTCCGTATATAAAATTGCATGGACAATATTCGGCACATAATAAATTTGGATAATTAAATATAATAATTCTAAACAATTAAGACTTACAATATAATATAATAATTCTAATTTGTGTATAAGTATATATATGAAAAATTTTTTACCGGGAGTTGTTTATACAAGTCAATTTTATTGATACAAATGTTTCAAAAACATTTTAATTTAAAAAACTGTTACGTAATAATTAACTTTAATTGTTTTATTATTTCGTGACGTACCGCTAATTTTCTGAATGTTTTCTTTCACTTTTTTCAAACTGCGCTGCATCTTTATTGATAAGTTAGGACGGCGTAGAGACTCGCAGTCGTCTCTGCTATCGTCACTGTCGCGACTTGACATTCGAAAGAGTTCAAAAAATACAAGAAACGTATTCATGTATTGACAAGAAGAACTTTAGTGAATTTCGTTGGCAATCAATGCTTTTTAGCGTGCGTGAAGACAAACTGACGCGTGTGAAGCAGCCGGCTGCAGTTTTAAGGAAGTCAGCAGTAGTCAAAATATTTAGACAATTTACCGCTGCGTGTCTGCTAATCTCAACGAGCGAAGCGACGTACAAGCGCATATTTAGAGTCCGGATGATTTTAGATTCGGCGAACACTCTGACTCCGTCTTCATAATTTTTCAAAAAAGGAAGGTCAAAGGGCCAATAAGAGCCTCAACACGGATGTTAGTGTGTAACAATTAAGGATTTATTAATATTTGAAAGTAACGTTTCGATCCTAAATTTGGATCATCTTCAGACAAACGTTTGTACAAAAAAAAATATATATATACATATATATATAAAATGCATGTATAAATAAAAAATTAATATTAAAGACTATTAGATTATTTAAAGACTGCTTTCGGCATGGAAAAGTGACAGTCGCACAATTTTATCATTATTTTTACTGGACTCCCGGGAAAAAATGGATTAAATCTAAATAGATCTAATTTAAATCTAACAAGATAAAAAAAATGAAAAACTAGATCTAATTAGATCCAAATAAGATCTAAATAGATATAAAGTAGATCTAAATAGATATAAGTAAATCTATGTAAATTTACACTTTATTTATCATTAGATCTACTTTAGATCTACTCAGATCTACTATATTAGATCTATTCAGATCTGCTTAG